AAACATAAACCAAGTTAAGAAAAGGTTGAGCAAATTTTGGGGTGCAACAAAGATCAACCACCTTGTACTTGATGCTTTGAACTACACAAAAATGGTCATCACATTTAGTTTGAAAATGTAAATGAATGGTTGGAAAGAAGTTGGATTTTGACCACCTTTCAAACCTCCCACTTTCCTTATAAATACCAAGTCAATCTTCAATTCAAATCATTAGAAAATACCACAAGAAAACTCTTTAAAACTCCTTGCACACTCAGAGTCACTTGTTCTTGCAAAAACCATCCAAACTTGCAAGAACACCTCAAATACTCATTATGCTCATGCATTCCCTCAACAAACTTCACAAACCATCTGTATACACTTACTAGAGCTCACCCAAACCATTGAAGTAGTTCTATAATACTCCAAACATCTCCTACCATTTTCAACCTCCATTTTAGAAAAAAGGATTGCGATCTGTTCCTCAAGCTTTTTCCAGATCATCCAACAATTCTAATAAGATTCAGAGGGTTTAAGAAAGCTTTAAAGAGTGTTTTCTTGTAGCTGAAAACATTAAGAAAGATGCCTTGGACTTTCTCCAAGAAGTAAGATTTATGGCTCTTGAAACTCCCATGTTCATACATTGTTTTGATGCCATTTGATTAGAAAAATGTAGTGTGTAATGTTCTTTGTTGGTTTGAACCTTTGTTGGATTTATCTTGTTTGAATATATCATGTGGTAACATACTGAAGATTTTTGAAATGTTGCATTATTGTTGTGTGTTGTGTGTTTTATACATTGAGTTTTGGATCAAACCCATAATGTATTCGTGTTTCTTGTAAGAAATGCTTTGATTTTGTTTTTTGTATCACTTGAAATGGTTGATAGATGGAGGATTTAGAGGGAGGGAAAGTTCTGGCCATGGAATTTTTTATGGCACGAAGAGAGAGAGGATGATGGAGGGCGAAGCTGAAGAAGATAATCTGAGGTGGAGATGATTGGGTTTGAGGTGGACATTTTAGAGTGTTGTTAAAATATAATAATTTTGAAGCATATTATGAATGGATGAGAGCGTAGCACCGCTGGTCAAAGAGGATGGTTTGTGTGCTGGTTGAGCAAAGGTTCTGGGGTTCGATCCCCCTCCCCAGACCATTTTAATTCCTTTTGTTTTTCTTTTTTGAGTTACCACTTGTTTCATATATTATTTCATGATGGTATCAATTATTTATAATGCACTGGTAGCCCAAATGGCCTTGATTTCGGGCATGATTGCTTAGGGCGTGGGTTCAAACCCCATTAGGTGCATTTCATTTATTTTTATACTTAATTTCTATGGTTTCCTTTACAAATTGATTTGATCATAACTTTCTTGATTTTTATCATTTTGATCCCATTCTTATTGCATTTTGTTCATGTTGATGCCTACTTTTTATTTGTGTCAAGAAATTTAAAAAAAATAATTATTTTTCTTGTACTTATTCATGTTTAAAGTGTGTGATATTTTTAGGGTTTTTTAGGATTTCTTTTGATTCTTTTGAATGATCCTTTGACTTTCCTTGCACATTTTGACTTGTATGAGCCTTGTGCATCTTGTTTGAATCTTACATAATGTGGTGAACTTGTTCATCCTTGTTTTTACTTGGTTTTTGTTACTTTTTCAAGCTTATGTTCATATGTAAATACATGTTTAAAACTTTGTCCATGCCATGAACTTTTTGTTTGGTTGTTACCTATTCAATTAACATGTTCCTTTTGCATTCATGCCTACTTAACCCAATTAGTGTCTTGCTTGTTTCTACATGATGTTTAAACTTTAATTTCTTTGTTCGCATACCTTCCCTTATGTGATTACCTCTTTCTCACATGTTATTATCATAAACATGTCTTTCTTGCTCAAGCTTTCTTGGTTGTTACCTTTTCCATGACTTAATTTGCATCCATGTTAAGTGTTGTTATAACTCATACATGTGTACTTTAATTCCTACCATGATAAGTAATGTCTTGATTTATGCATGTTTGTTTGAACCATTGTTGATGTTATGATAAGTAATGTATTGACTTATATTATACTTCATGTTGTTCATACTTGTCTTATGTTCAGGATCAATTAGTGTTAGTAAACCTTAATGCATGTTTGTTTTGTGGAACTTTAACTTGTTCCATGATTGTTTAGATGTTGTAATATCTATGTTTGGATACATTTCTATTGGTTGTCACCATGATTTGAAATTTATTTAAGATGTATGATTTGGTTGTTACCTTAGGTATCTCCTTCATGTTTGATTTTTCCTTAATATCATGTTTTGAATATCATCTATTTTTCTATTCTGTTTCTGGATTTTGTTAAGTTTTCCCCAAGTGATGTAGCTTGTTAGCTCTCATCTTAAATAGTTTCCCTTTTGTTCCTTAGTCCAAAGTAAAATCTCTCTATTTGACTTAATGTCATAGATAGGTCATTTCTTCCTCTTGACCTTGTTAGAGTCATTAGGTCCCTCAACTTAGCCTTAAGTTAGAACCTATGTTTCCTTTGACTTTGTCAAGTCAAAACCTTAGCATACCTAGTTAAGAGTCCTATAACTTAGAACTTAGGACTGACGTTTGTTAACTCTATGTGTGTACCATTGTTATGTGTACTCACTTCCCCCTTAACTTTTGTTAAAGTCATCCCCTAGTTAGGTTTTTTTCAACTTAGACTTAGAGAGTTTGTTAACTCTACATAAGTATCATTGTTATGAATACTTATTCCCATCGGAACCTTGACCAAAGTAAAAAGTTCCTTCACCCCTAGTTGGATGAACTACAATTTCTCTAATTCCATTCTTGTTAGGATACGTAGGCACGAAATCCGACGTCTTGGCGAGCATACTTAGTGTATATACCCATAGGTCTTTGCCTTTAGCATTTTCACCATAGCAGATAACCATTAGCAAGCAAACATTAGCAATAACACAAATACCAAACAAGAGGTTCCTGTCGAGTACTACAGATACTTAGGATGCTAACGCCTTTCCTAGGTATAACCAACCCCCGAACCCCACAATCTCTTAGCTTCGTTGTTATGTAGCACACTTGGGGTTTTCTTCGATCTTTACCCTTTCATATGGATAAATCAAAGCTCGATGTTGAATTTTATAGATATGTGATTCAAGTTAATTAATAGCTTAATATATGATTCTCACTGCAACAGTAATCAAACAATAAAAAGTCAACAGAAGATACATGGCAAAGCATCATGCAATTAATAGACAAAGACATGCGGTAAAGCATCGCGAATAAAATCCACAAACAGTCACGACAAAACATCATATAAAGTCAAAAGACAAGAGAACACATAATAGACATAGAAAAACATCATGGATATCAGATGACACAAGTCAACAGAAGATACATGGAAAAACATCACGGTATCAACAAATAGAATTGGCAACATACATGGCAAATCATCGTGCATAAACAGACAAAGATATGTGGCAAGCATCGCGAACAAAATTCAAAAACAATCACGGCAAAGCATCGTGAGAACCCACAACACAAAGTACAATCACGGTAAAGCATCGTGATAAACAATCCTTAAACATACAGAAAGTATGCAGAAAAACATCTTGAGAAATCCATAGGCAAAATAAAACATTCACAGCAAAGCATCATGAGAAAGAACATTATCAATTATTCTTGGCAGAACATCAAGAATTAATCGTAGAAACAAACAAGTTACGAATAGAATCGGACAGCAAAGTGATTATTAATTAATTTACATATAAATATTTAATAAGATTAATTAATCATTTAATTAATCCATTTAAATAAAATATTTAAATTAACTAATAATTATAACATTACTTATTTTTTCATTTTAAAATATCCTTTTCTATCATATTTTTTTTGACATTTTTCAATATTACAAATAATAATAATATATAATTAAAAAATTAAAAATAACAAACAATTTTAGCATTTTTTTAAAAAATAATATCACAAATAAATAATTAAGCTAGAAAAAATATTAAAAATAAAAGTTAAGATATTTATGACATTTCCTAAATATACTAATGAAAGAAACAATATTAGAACAAACAAAATGATTAAAACAAATAATTAGAATGTGAATCTGTTTTTTCTTTACCAACCAACAACCAAATAATATGCATTATTCACATAGTTACAGAACAAAGTTCAACACAAATACAACATCACCAAATCGCGAGCTATGCACATAATCAAAACAATTAATTGTACAACTTCTAAAATTATCAACCCAACTCCCAAAATATTCAAGCATAGTGATGCCATGAAAGCTCTACACACCAAAACAAAGATGAAAGTAACAGTAGAACACATATCAATTTTAACAAAAAGTAAACAAAAGCAAATGAACTTAAAAACTAGTTGAAAGAAAAAAGTGATACACCACATACATATATTCCAAAAAGTAAAACAAAGTTATACTATAGAACACATGATTTATGTAACTGACACACAATAACATATAAATTGTGACTGATAGCATACCATACAATTTACACCTCATACTACTAAAATACTATAGAACAACACATTAGTCTAATGAATTCCACTTATTTGATGTTAGATGTGGCTGAAAAATATGAATAAGTTTTTTATAGATTGGAAAATGTTGAGGTTGCATATAAGATTTCTCTTGAGAGTAATTTTTGAAGTTGTCCTAACCAAGATGATTGGAACCATGCTCGTGTATTCACTAAATTTTTGAAGGTTTTCTATGATGCAACACTTTCTTTTTCTGGTTCATTGCATGCTACTGCCAAAACTTTCTACAAGAAGTTGATTGAAATTCAAAAGTCATTGAATATATGGGTGAATAGTGATGATGATACGTTGAATAAGATGACAACAAAAATGCAAGAAAAGTTTAAAAAATATTGGGATAGTGGTGAGATCAATTGTTTTTACTATTTGTGGCTATTTTTCTTGATCCCTTTATAAGTATGATTACATTGAATTTTGCTTTAAAAAGATGTATGAGGTTGACAAGTGTAAGGAGATGATGACAAAGTTATATGATCTTGTGAAAAAGTTGTTTGAACAATACATGGTAGAATATCCTGTTTCTATTGAAACTTGTGGGTCTAATATGATACCTTCAAATGTTGCTACCTCAGAAGCTAATGGTGAAAGTTTTGAGGAGGACGATTGGAAAAACCAATTTAGATTTAATATGAGGATAAAACAAGATGAAGTTCAAAGAAATTAGTTGGAAAGATATGTAGAAGATGGTATTGAAGAAAATGTGGTTGATTTTGACATTTTGAAATGGTGGAAAGGGAAAGCAAATAAGTATCATGTTCTTTCACGCATTGCTAGGGATGTTTTGGCAATTCCAGTCTCTACGGTATCCTCCGAGTCTGCATTTAGTAGTGGTGTTCGTGTGCTTGATGCATTTCGTAGTTCTTTAAATCCCTCCATGGTTCAAGCTTTGATATGTTCTCAAAATTGGATTAAGTCTCTAAAGATAATATATTTTCAAGTTGAATTGGATGAAAGAAGAAAAGGTTGAATTAGGTATGTTTATTTGTTTATAACTTGTCATCATTTTTATTCTTTTGCTTTTAATTGTTGAAAATTACGAGCTAATTTATTTTGTTAATAATTTTAGAGTTGTCCCAACTAACTTTAGATAACGATGAGGCTACAATTCATGTTGATCGCTATCGTAACACATAAAGGTAATTTAATAATTCTTTTAGGATTGTCTTAATTTAAAATATTTGTTATAACTTTGTTGTTATGTTAACTTGTTACTAATATGTTACGGTTGCTATTTTACGGTTTTGTTGTCTATTTATTGCTACTGGATGTTGTTTGTCACTGTTTTGGTGTTTATTTGTTGTTGTTGGATGCTTGTTTGCTGCTGTTTTGCTGGTTACTTGTTGCTGGTGAATGTTGTCTACTACTGTATTTTGCTGTTTGGTGTTGTTGAATGTTGCCTGCTGCTATTTGTTATTGTTTTAGTGCTGTCTATTGTTGTTTTATTGCTCTTTCATGTTGTTTTGGCATGGTTTTTAATACTTTACATTCATTATGATGTTATTTTAAATAGATTTGAAGTATATGTGGACAAATTATGAATTTTGTATGCATTTTACTCTTGCTTATTATATAGTCCTATTTTAATTTGACTTATGATGATTTGGTACTAGTTGTTTTTAGCTTGTATCAAAGCTATGGTGGGTGATGTAAGAAGTTAAAGTGACATTTTAAAGTCACAAACCTTTAGCTTTATGCTATGGAATGGAGTATGGACATATTGTTCTCTGTTATTGAATATTTAAGTTTAATATATCAGTTAAAATAACTATGGTATATGATTATGGTAGTTATAACTTGTTTAAAGATATGTATGTCATATGTTCAATACTCATTTTTCTTCATTGGTGCGCAGAAACGACTTTTTATATTGGGGCAAAAACACATTTTACATCGGGTCTGGGTCCGATGTAAAGCCAAGCGATTTAGTAAATCATAGACATTTTACATCGGATCGTAGACCGATGTGAAAAATGCATCTACTACATGCCTTGATAGTTAAGTCTGATGTGAAATATGAGTTTAATTATTTGTTTTTTAAAAAGAACTTTTTACATCGGCTGGCATCCAGAACAGATGTAAAAGGTATGTTTTTACATCGGTTTCCTTTTTGCCCCGATGTAAAATGTGTGCTACGTTTCTTTAAAATATATGTTTTAACAATGATTGCCTTTTAGGCCTGATGTAAAATGTGTGATATCTTTTTTCAAAATGGATTTTTTTACATCGGTTGCAAGGCGCACCCGATGTAAAATGTAAGCTATCTTTCTTAAAAAATTGGACTATTTTTTATCAGAATCGATGTGGAATCCCTGTAATTTTATTTGGTACCTAATTTTTCATATTTTTTCAACATCTCACATACGACATTTTAGTCGTTATTTGATATGTAATTTTTCATATTTTTTCAACCAACTTTTTAATTTCATTGCACAAATAGCTAGGATGCACATATTCTTCAACATGAACAAATTGATTTACAAAAGCACTAATCTAGTATACGCACAAGTTTACGAAATTAAATGTATGTTTACACGGTGGACTAATACAACAACAAAACCAATAAAAACATACAAAAATATCCAACCATTTATAAGTCATTTCCCACACTTGAATTACCAACATGCAATCCACAAGAAGATGAGTTGTAGCTAACTTCGGTAGACAACACCAAAATCAAATTTGCTGGCAATAAATAATAATACCAATAAACATCATCAGACAATACCAAAGTCAAGAAACTCAAATCATATATATATTGACAATTCTATATAACTAATTAGATAAAGCTTAATTTTTATATAACTCAAAGAAACATTTTGCCCAACGGAGTCACAAATCATACAAATCATCTTTTGTTAATTTTATTGGATCATGAAATACCTACAATACGTAAATAACAATATAAAGTTATTCTTTGAAAATTCACATTAAGTTGCAAAACGCAAAGTAAATAACAAAGTAAAGTTATTTTTATTACCTGCAGTCAATAGAGTTATGTTGTCGCATTGTCTACAAATGAATGACACAATTAGTGAATACTTATGATAAAATTAAATATAGAATTATAATTTACACCACACTTACTTTGGGTTGGACCCATGTAGTCTTTTTTCTATTGTCATTTTCCATTTGATAAACCCCAAAAGTACTAATTCAGAAGAAAAAAAATCCATATAAAGCCACATAAAATATGAAATTACTTTTGTAACAATTTATGTATATAGGATATATCATATATTATAAAAAAAAAGTCATATAAAAGATAAACTTACTTTGTAACAATTTTCTTTATGCTTTTATTAAGTTCCCAATGAAGTGAACAAAAGACGACCACAATATTGTCTCTTGGAAAAACGACTATTAATTGCCAATGGTCTCTGTACGTGTGTGCGGAAACACAAAAGTCACATAAAATATCTATATTATCAAAATTAAAAAATTGAAAACACAATTTCATACAAACTTACCCATGAATAAATGATAGTAAGTGACACACTTTCTTTTCATCATGTAACTTATCTTATATGTATTTTTTAACATCTGTTTCAGTTTTTGGCACATCATCAACATACACATACCTACCAGGGTCCATAAATCCATATGCTTCTGATGTGGAATTATCAATACATACACAATGAATATACCTGAATAATTTTAAAATAAACATTAGAATTAAAGTGATGAGAGGTATAACATATTAAAAGATATCAATAGTAATAAAAAAAGAAAATGTACTTACGTGGACCAAACTTGCAGAGTAGACACGTCAAGCCAATGAAAACCCACCAACAACTCTCTGATACACTTAGCTGACATATAAAAATTAGTGACACTCGCACAATGACTTAATTTTATTTCCATGTGTGTGTCACCCATTTTCAGAACCATGAGTAACAATCTTTAAACATCATCTTCCATTTCTTTTGTGCTTCTTTTTGCAGCTGAACAACTTCCTTTTTCGCTTCCATCGACAACTTCTATTTGTTCAATGCATTTTTTATTTTCTGTGCTTTGCGAGAGACCCATAGACCTAAGTGTCTCCATAAAATATTGTTGCAACACCTTCCGCTCTTCAACCAACTCTTGCTCAAAATCAGCTCTATGTTTTGCTTCCAATTCCAATGAAAATTGCGCTAGTTATTATTGTACACCTATATGTTGTCGTTGACGTGAAGATAACCTTCCAAAGAAGTTTCTAATTTTATGGTGTTTTCCAACACCACGAACACGACCGCTGTAACGCCCCGATTCTGATTTCTCATTTTTGTTTTGTCTTTTATTTTATTTGGGTGATTATTATTTTATTTGTGGAATTGATGTGTTAATATGTTATGTTTGCATATTGTGTCATTTTATCGTTTTTGAGAGTTTTCGGGGAAATTAGGTTGGAGGGTATTTTAGATATTTCTTAATTAATGTTAAGTTAGAAATTTTGTGTGAGAAAATGAATTATTAGATATTTTGAGAGAAAAAGTAATAGGAAGAATTAGAATAGAAAGATATAAGAGAGAAAGAGGAGAGAAAAGAAAAAGAAAGAAGAAAAAGGAGAGAAAGAAAGAGGAAGAAGAGAAAGGAGAAGAAAAAGAGGAAAAGCTTGGAAATCTTCAAAACAACTTATAGGAATCGATTTAATCGGGTAAGGGTGTGAAATCTTATAATCTCATCAATGTGTATCATTATGTATGTGTTGTTTGGATTGTTTAGGTTGTTTTTCTACATATTTCCATTTTAGGTCGAAATGGTTAAATCGATAGAAACCGATGTTTTCACGACTAGAATTCAAAATAAATTGTGTAGTTTAGTCGAGAAATGTTAGGCCAAGACTATTGAAACTTGTTTGATTGAATTCGGGTGATTTCTTGACTTTCTGACATTTTTGGATAATTGAGGGTTTGAGTAGCGAAATATTCGCTAGGCAAGTCACTGGCGAGTGAGGTAGCGAAGTGTTCGCTAAGCGAGCACACAGCGAGCTGCCAGTGAACACTCCCAGACTTGGGCAGAGCCAAAAAGACCAAAACTCGCTGGAGCGAGTGGAGTAGCGAAGGACTCACTAGGCGAACCATTTTTCTCGCCTAGCGAGCATGACAGCACAACATTTTTTTCTATTTCCATCCAACATCGATTCTTCGACTCGGATGTGATCAACCTTCTCTCGAAATGTGTAGCTTGTGTGCTGTTATTTGATAGGCTGTGGGTAACCGTATGGCATGAATCCTAGATTGTGGAATTTATTGTGAATTGTGGCCTTTTGGAAAATAAATGCATTGTTTAAATTAAATGTAAATGCATTATAATTGTGATAGAGTTCGTTGTCGTTTAGGTGGTAAGGCGATGCTCATTGCCGTTTGGCGTAATTGATGTGAATGTGTATCGATTGTATGTGATAATATGAGATGAATGCATGAATATATTGTAATATGTATGCATTTCAAGAATGTCTTGAGTCATTTTGTATGTGAAGCATAATGATGTACATTCTTGTGTTGTGTGATTCTAATGAGAATTTGTTGTAACATCGTGTGCCTATGTGAGGTGTGAGCGATGATTACAAACGATTGTATGCCTATGTGAGGTGTGAGCAATCGGATTGTGTGCCTATCTGAGGTGTGAGCAATCCATAAACATTGTGTGCCTATGTGAGGTGTGAGCAATGGGTGAACATCG